GGGGGTAATGGGAGCGCAACCCCAGCCACACAGCAGAGCGGCCAGCTGTGCAGGCGCCATGCTGCAGCTTCCGGGACCCGCACGGTTCCAGGCCAATGTCTGTTCATGGTGACGCGTCCAATCCCAGAGTGGTGGTGCTCTGCCTCGGAGTGTAAACCCCTGCCCCACACAGTGCTGCTGAGGACAGCCGCCCGGGTGCGTGCCCGCCTGGCCGAGTCACCCACACGCCCTCATCTTCGTGGGGGACGGCCGTCAGGGTCCAGGTGCTGCTGTCAGCCCTCTTTCAGGCTCGGCCAGGACATGGGGGTCCTCTTGCACACGTGACTGTGTGAGGAAGGCAGAGCCCTGGGCTGTATCTCCCGCGGCAGTGGCCTCGGGTCCCGCTCTGCCAGTGTGAGCCTGGGGGAGCCAGGCCGGGTGGGCCCCAGCCTCCCTGGCCTGACACCGCGTCTCTCTTTCCTCCTGCTGCCGCCGTCAGGGCTCACCCACTCTCACACTCCTTTAGGTAAGACGCCCGGACACCCGGGGGCCGTGTGGGCCGTGTGGGCCGTGTGGGCCATGGTGGGAGGGTGTGTTGAGACCACTCCCCGGGCACCGTGCGGCCAGTGCCCATAGGAGCTAGCACTCCCTTCCAAGTGTGTCACAGCAGGTGTGTCTGCCCTCCACGCCAGACTGTGGGAGGGGCCGGGGCCCTGGCTGCTCTGCTCTTTCCACCTCCGTGCAAACACGGTTCCTTCTGCTGGAAAGCGGTCCTGGTCCCCAGGCTGAGCTTTGTCTCTGTTGCTGCCTGATAGCTCCTGCGTGTCCCCCCCCAGAGCAAGCGGTGGCTCGGTCTTGTCACGGCATCTCCTGATGGACCGCAGAGTCTGTGCAGGGCCCCGGAGCCTGCCAATTGCCATGCCACCTCAAGTGCAGGCCCCGTTCCCTTGCCTTCTGTCCCGGTTCCCTTGCTTTCTGTCTGGCCCGCACCGGCCAGCCCCGTGGGCTGGGGAGGAGCCTGGCCGTGTGGCTGTGGGGCGGGGGCTCCTGTGGCCTCATCTCGTCGCGGGGCTCACTCCTGCCTCCTCTGCTTCTACCACTTTCCGCAGCAGCTACTCCATCCGCCACTCGATAAGCCTGCCGGCCATGAGGTAACGCCTGTCGCTCGCGCTCAGGGCTGGGTGGGGGGTGGCTCCTGCCATCACACCTGCCCTTCCTGTGTCCCAGGGGCCCGTCCTGCGCTTCCCTAGCCTGACTCAGGCTGTTGAAGGTAGCGAGGCTCTGTGGTCTCTCGGAGATGTTCGTGGAACCCCCGAGGCTGGGCCTGCCACCCTGGCTGCTTGGTCGGAGCTCGTGTTCTTGAGGAGGCTCTGGTCGGGTGTCCTTGATGTCCTGGCCCCTGGAGGCCTCAGCAGGGAGGTGGCCGGCTGTGAAAGGACAGCGGTGCCGGCCTGCTCCTGGGGCCTCCGTGCTCTGCTGCCCCGTGTTGTCCTTTGCTGTCCTTTGACCTGACCCCTCAGCTCTGCAGGCCTCCGGGCTTTCACTTCCTGCGCAGAAGAATCCGGATGTGTGGTTAGACGCAGCACGGGCTTGCCAGCCCTCTGCCCCACAGTCGGGGTCCTGCCTCTCGTGGTGGCTGGCCCTGTCCTGGTGGCCGATGTGGTTGACCCCCCTCTGACCTGGGAGCCTCTGGAGTGGCCTTGGCCAGACTCTAGGGCTGCCCTCTTGGCACGTCCCATTTCTGCAGTGAGATCTCGCGACGTGTCTGGGATCCTTCTGGAGTGACCCTGACCTGGCGTCTCGTCATGTTTGGGAGGACGGCACAGCCTTTTCCTCTCTGTACCAGTGTCTCTCCCCTCTCTCTTTAAAGGAACTCTGCGACCTTCAAGTCATTTGAAGACCGAGCTGGGACCATAAAGGTAATTGTACCTACAGGGTTCAGCCCTCGTGAGCCCCCACATCACCTTCCACCATTGCAGACTCGTGCAGCCTGTAGGTCCAGGTCCCTCGTAGCTGCCACACAGCTCCTCTAGGGCCCCCCTCTCAGAACTGCAGCACACCCTCAAACAGTGGGGCTGGCACAGTAATTCACAGCGTTCCTTCCTGCCCTTCCGACAGCAGCCACCACCCGTGTGGGCTCTCAGACTGACTTGTCCTCACTCCACATTGTTCCCTTCAGCCTGCTCCGGGTATTGCCGAACAGCTCGGCCCAGGGCTGGCCTTGCGCTGTCTGCGCTGTCTGAGGCTGTTTTCTTGATGTCTCCCTTCTGTAGTCTAAAGTCGTGGGTGGCAGAGAGAACGGCAGTGACAGCCTCCCTTCCCCGACGGGGAGCGGTGACCAGCACCTGCCAGATCGCACGCCTTTTTAAGCTCGCCAACGCTTCGCCCAGCACGGAGTGACCGGGACGGACGGGCAGAGCGGTCTTGAGGACAGCTGTGCCACCCTTGTGCACGCGTGGCATGAGCTAGAGAACACGGTCCTACCCCCAGGTGTTCTACACCAGATCACTGTGCTGCCTGCCTTGGGGTGTGGTGTGGACAGGGCAGAGGTTAGCTCGTGGTGTGGACAGGGGCAGCCTCGAGCGAGAAAGACGTCGCCCGCCCTGGCCTCCCCTTCCTCACTCACAGGCCACAGTTGCCCAGAAGGCCCTTCCCGATCCTCAACTCCCATCACGAATGCTGACTGAGAGACTCCACCTGCCAAGACCCGGAAGGGGCCTGGGCCAGCCTCTGCCTGATCGTCGCACCGACAGTCTAGCTGTAACAAAGGCAGATCTGTTCTTTTTAAAATGCAGTGGACTATTCAAAGATTAAAACTAGGCACATAGCTTTAGCCTCGTAGAGAATATTGTTTCTTTGGACTCAAGCTGAAACGCAAGCCTCACGTCGCCTTAAACTTTATCTCTTCTGCTCTTTATATACAAACGTATGATGGCTCTCCCGTGAGTCCTGAGCGCTGCAGGCCTTCGCACACTCCGTGCCGCCAGTGGGTGTTGACGACGCACTCCGGCCTGCACGGTCTGCTGCTCCCAGGCCAAGGCCCCTCCCACAGGGGCTCCTGCAGCACTGGGCATCGGGAGGGCCGAGAGGAGGAGGGGTTGCTGTCCTAGGGGCCTGGGACAGAGGGGCCCACCTCCCAGTACAGCTTTTGCAGCAGCCTGGTTAGGCCACGACTCCACCCTGCGGCAGTCTGGGTTGGGTGAGGCCTTGGGGCTGCTTTCCCATGCCCGGCCTGCCCTCCCAGGCAGCGCTCAGCAGGGCCCTGTGTTGGAGGCATGGTCTGAGGGGTATCTCCGTGCCTTTTGGCTTTCGGGAGGGCACTTTTGTGTGCTCCTCGGAGGTGTCCCTAGAAGCTTCAGACACCTGGGGGCTGCCCCCTTCACACAAGGGTAGGACCAGGAAAGGGCGCCCCGTCTCCAGGGTCAGATCTGTCAGTGGCGGGGTGGGAAGGCAGGTGCAGGTGGAGCCTGGAGCGCCTTCTGGGAGAGGAGTGGGCGCCCTTGTGGATGAGGCGTTCCTCTGGGGGAGAACTTCAGCTTGTGTGTCGCTCAGCCCCACAAGAGAGGTGAGCGAGCTGGCACGAGGTAGGGTCGGGCGAGACCCATGGCAGACAAGCTGCGCAGGAGGGCGCTGAGTGGACTTGGTGACAGACCCGTGGGGCCAGAACTGGTGGCTCTGAGGAGGCAGAGTGCGGAGGGGGTTTGCCAGCCAGAGTGAGGACTGGCCCATGGAAGGGCCACTGCTGCCTTTGACAGACCCTGTTAGGGCCATTGGGAGAGCAGGGTGACCCCTGTGGGGCTGTGTCGCCCCACATGCCGTGTTCTTCCAAGGCACAGTCCTGCCCTCCGGACGAGACCTCTGGGATGGTGGTGCTGGACACCCTGAAGGTGCCGAACAGACACGGTGAGGGGGGAGCTGCTCTGGCCGGGCCTCCCCACCTAGGCAGGCGGGGGGCAGGGTCGGCAGCTCTGCCTGGTGGAGCTCCTGTAGCCCCGGCCGGGGACATGCCCTAGTTGGTGCAGGGACTCTGTCCTTTTAAGTTTCTGGTTTTTTTCTGCCTGAGGATTCATGTGCTGGCCAGAGAAGGGGAGACAGGAGAGCGACAAAGCGCTCCCGTGGGGAGTGGCCACACCACAGCCCCTTCTCCGTCTCCCTCCATTCAGGACTTCGGGCGCACACACACACTTGCACGCCCGGAGTATTTCTTGAGCCGTCAAAGCAGACTCGCCATGTGGTCGGCCACGTGGGGTCTGGGATCCAGTACCTTCACCACTCGCTGAGCTGGCCCCCCTGTTAGACAGTGTATTTACAGTGCTCAGAAGCCGGCTCCTGCCCTCTGCCATCGCTTGTTCACTCTCCTGGTATCTGTGCGAAAGCAAACAGAACGTGGGGCCGGCAGGTGGTGTGGGGGTTAAGGGTACTGGATTTCCACATGGCCAGTTGCAGTTCAAGTCCTGGACCTGGTAGCTTGCTTTCTCACTTTCCTTTTCTCTCTCTGGTCAAATTAAAATAATTCTAATAACACATGTAATTAAATAATTCTTTTTAAAAAATAGCAGAGTGTGTGTTTTTTTGTTCACCTTCGCGTTCCAGAGGGCGTCTGAGCTCTGCCCTGGTTCCCTCTTTGCTCCCTGCACCTCCGTGAGGCCCCTCGAGGGGAACCTTCCACCCCTGCCTCCCTTGCACTTTGTCCCCCTCAGCTGTCCTTGGAGCCCCAGTGGGAACCTTAGACGGAGCAGGGCCCGCCCCAGCCCCAGCGGTAAGAGTGGGAAGGCGGAGTGCCTTCCGGCCGTGCAGTGTGTCCACTGGGGGAGGGGGCGCGGGGCCGCCAGAGGGC